CATTAATCACACAACGGCTCTCCAGAACATGCTTGCAATGGAACTTGGCTCCGGGTATGCAAAGTGGCTATGTTGATCCTTACAAGACCGTCAGCAGGGGCTCAAGATGCCAGATGGAACCACGAGTCATTGGAGAACGATAACATGCGGCACTTCACAAGGCGCCCTAGTTGGCCCGGTTACATTTCCTGGCCAAGGTTAACGGCGCCGCTGCTAATACTGAGAACCTACTGAAGTATGTACATGACCTTACTATATACCAGGCGTGTCGAATCCACCAAGTACATCGGCACTGCCATTCGCAAGAGCACACTGACAAGGTTAGTGCTTGGGCAACAGCAAACAAGATGACACTGACTAGTATCAAGTCATGCATTTTTTTACAGCCCAGAAACCATTAGCAATACCGGACATCGTGATAAGAGAAAAAGCTTGCAAACTGCCACCAAAACTAAGCTCTTAGGTGTAACAATATCAAATGACATGTCATGGTAAGCACATGTGGATGAGATTGGAACCAAAGCATTGAAAGCTTTATATATGCTCTAAAAAATAAAGAAGTACAATCCACCGCAGGAGCAGCCTGTTTGGGTGTATGTTACATCCGACCATTGCTAAAATACTGTGCAACGGTTCTTCATGTGAGACCCATTGCCAAGCAGGCGCAACGTCTTGAGAAAGTGCAGAAGAGAGCTTTGAAAATAATCTTCGGCTGTACGGGAAAATCCTAGCATATCTTGCAACGCTTGGGCATGGAAACCCTCGCTGGCAGGAGAGAAAAACTATGCCCAAGGCTAGCAAAACAAATACAAACGTCTCCCACGCATAGAGCGTCTCCCATCGTCTCCCGATGCAGCGAGTGGCGGCCTCCGGCAGAAATACCTCGGAGGGCAAGCACGCTGCAAACGTTTTGTTGTGATAAGTGACTACGTAAATCAAGCATTCCGCATATAACCATTCTCATTAACACAGATGTATTATCAGCTAGGTAGCATCCTACTTCGGAGGGGCTTGTAGGCAAAGAATATTCACTGCGTTGATCGGCACATACCCAAAGTAAATTTTCGTCAGGAAATATTGTGCACATGTGCTCTCTCTCTCTCTCTCTCTCTCTCTCTCTCTCTCTCTCTCTCTCTCTCTCTCTCTCTCTCTCTCTCTCTCTCTCTCTCTCTCTCTCTCTCTCCTCTCTCTCTCTCTCTCTCTCTCTCTCTCTCTCTCTCTCTCTCTCTCTCTCTCTCTCTCTCTCTCTCTCTCTCTCTCTCTCTCTCTCTCTCTCTCTCTCTCTCTCTCTCTCTCTCTCTCTCTCTCTCTCTCTCTCTCTCTCTCTCTCTCTCTCTCTCTCTCTCTCTCTCTCTCTCTCTGTGCTGCACTCCCTATTTATTTTCGCGCAGCCCAGGGACGAGAGAACGGGGCAAATTTGGCGTCATGTTTCGTGCGTTTGTAATGCAGCGTCTTCTCCATTAGCTGTCGAGTAGTAATAGAGTGCGCTCCAAATGAAGGAAGGCTTTTAATTGAGTAGTCTTGGAATGCCGGTAAAGTAATGAAAGGTAATCATAGAGTGAACTGACCAGACGAGTTTTAGGTATCCTGGTGGAAATAACGGTCAGCGCGTAGGTTCGCCTATCTCTCGTTCAGTTGTTCAGGGCTCAGTATAGCACCTGGCTGACTGGAAGACGCGGCTCGAGTGACGTGGTTTTTTGCTGGGATTGTTTGTGAGCTTTGTGAGAAATGCAGCTGTAGTTGGTAATGCTTATTAAGTTCAGGTAAGTAGATAAGGCCATCTTATAATTGTACCCTATGTTAGCCCACCGCTATTGCAGGAACTGCCATCCGATATTGAGATGTTGCATAACTGACACCAACGCTGATGGCGTGGCTAGTACCAGCTAATGAAAATGAGATTACCTACGTGTGAATGCACTTGGCTGATACTTGATAGGCTCAGAGTGCCAAATGTCAGCTTAAGTGCAGTCAAGTCCACACTGCATGTTTGGTAACTAAGGGATCTGGGTTGCAGGTGCCAGATGGATTATGCTAGCCTTACAGCTGCACTTAAAGCCATCATGTACCGACGGCTGTATGGCTATATATATATATATATATATATATATATATATATATATATATATATATTTATGTATATATACGAGCCAGAGCCGAACCGGATCTTTGCAACCTGTGTAAGTCGCCAGTCAAATGACTTCACGCGAGCAATGGGTCTGAACTGAGTCGATTAAAAAAATTGGAGCGGCTTTGAGTCGTGCGCTGAATCGGATCCCAGTCTGTGATTAAAAAATTGAGCGAAAACGAGGCTGGCTCAAGCACCACAACATGAGGGGGGGGGGCAGGTCCACGCGTGTCGTCGATGTCATGCTGTCGCTGATCATGCTGCTGTCTACACGTGGACGAATCACGCACATCAGTGAGGTTTAAATGCTCTACGATACCCAGCACGCCAAATCTCAAGTCTCATCTCATGTGTCACATTTGGCGCCTCCAGCTCGTCCCGTCGTAGACGCTGGACACAGCCAATCCAATGAGTAAAGGGGGCATACCTGCTCACAGCTCCTGACCTTCGCCGTGACGGAGCGTAGGCAAAATACGAATATTGCTGAGATTTGAACTCCCCATGGATACAGCATTCCAAATCTCATCAACGGGACACCACCACCCATCCAGTGTCAAATCTCATCAGCGGGACACCACCCATCCAGTGCCGAAAGCACCTGGGCACGAATCATTCACATCCGCCTCGCTGGCGCATTAGCACGCTGCGCCGGATAAAACCGGCCTAGATGGTTGTTCCCCCGCCGCACTTCACTGCAACAGAGAAAAAACGAGCAGCACGCGGCAGAGGCGTGAGTTATGTGCCTCGTAAGTACTAAGGACACAAAAGGTACGCAAGGGCCCCACGCGCGCGCCGAGTCACAGACCTGTCTTTTTGACAGGCCGTATTTCCCACGGGCTATCTGCTCGCACGTCAAATTTGGAGATCGTGCTGCCAAATTTGCTGACATTGACAACATTTCTAACATTGACATCGGATTTGACGGCGTGTAGCTGACGTCGAGGTTCAGCACGATGCACGCGCTTCACGCGTATACCGGTCGCCGCCCACCGGTCGCACCACCACATAGCACCCCGCCCGCGTCGGCGTGGGTGTTTCCCGCTGGCAGGCGGGTCCGAGCGCGCCGCCTCATGATCTGGTGTAACCCCGGCCACCTGATTTTTTCTGACCTCCGGGTTACGGCGCGAGGCTCGCCACGCGGCACCGAGTGCCTCAAAACCACCGCAATCCACCACAAACCCGAAAACCATGGCGAGTCCGCTGAACCGTGGCAGCCGTCGGTGAAGATTTGGTGACGATCGGCCCGGCTTTAAGAGCGCGGTACATTCGAACGTTTGTGTGTTCAAACTCGCTTGCAAATATCCGCATCTGAAAGCTTGGCAATCCCGTGCATGAATTATCATCGCGCTGAAGTGTGCTACGCAAGCTTTGGCCCTTTCGACGATCAATCTTACAGGTACGCGAAGGCGTCAAGCGTTGCTTTGGGGTCGACGTCCGAACCCGAGGTCATGCGACGGTAGACGGCCATGGCAAACGTCACGAAATATGGCGGCCCTTATTCGGACAATTACCTTATTGGGCGGCCCAAAATAGAAGGGACATCAGTATACATACTCTGCACCCATGATACCACTTGCAGCTTGTCTACTATGTGTTCATCGACTGACTGCCAGGTGCGTAGGCGTTTGAATGCGGTAATTAGCTTCCTGGCGCCAGCTCGCTTATGCGACGTGGCGTATGCATGAGAAATATCCACACGCTAAGTGTGTGTCTGATGCGAGGTCATCTTTCAAACCTTCGTTCAGTAGTCCATCATCTCTTCCTTATTCCTTAACCATGCACCTATCGAGATCAATGGAGAGTAAAACTAGCCTTTCGAGCATCAGGCGCTGATCTTTTTATAAAAAACGAACAAGACGCACGTCGCCGTTGTCACAGCAAGGAGAGAAGAACACTTACGCGCACCCTTGCACCAGAAGCCACTTAATGCATCTCTACCGCGAAAAGGTGGATATCTGCGGGGCAGTCATAAACATCAAAAAGCGCGGAATCTGGCGAATCCTTGTCTTTTTGTTGTTGATGCAATTCTCCCAGAGCGTGAGCGGGCAAATCTCCGTGGACAGCTGTCAAACACAATACCGATTACATTCAGGCCAAACGCGCGTATGCATGCCATTCGAATACTCCAGGCGCTTACCGAACGTCAATGACGAACCAAAACGTGTTGTCCAAAAGTCAGGCATTTGCCATCGGAGGTGGCGAGGCACTAAACGCGAGCACGCGCGTCACAGAAAACCTCACGCGCCTATCGCAAGTAAGTACGCGCCCGTTTGTTTGTTTGCTGTCTTTTTTGCCATAATTTTTCTGGTAAAGCCGCAACCATTCTACAAAGTTTTGGCCTTGAACGAACGCAAGTGATAGGCGAGAGGTGATAAATTCACAGCGTCTTAGGACATGTAACGTTATGGTAAAAGCCGAAACGCAACAATGACATTACATCAGATGTGTTGAGATCGGAAAGCTGACCTTGGGATTCAAGCGCTCTGCCCGGCCTAGAAAACGAAAGCAACAGAACACTTTTTGGTAGGCCTAGTCCCTTTAGGGAAGAGAATGCGTAGCCAGCTGACGATTTTGCCGGATAATGGGAGGGAGAAGACAGATCACGGGCCGCAGTGCTCCAAGGTGGTCATTCAGAAGCCAAAGAAGAAGCCTGAAAAGTGGTGTCGTCAATTGGTAGCCTGTCAGTGGGTAATAGGTAACCCAGCGCTCATTGCATGACGTAAGCATTCAAGACATTTTCTATTCCCTTCCTCTCATCAACTATCCTCTCCCGTGGCAAAAAGGCTGTGGACGTTGGTAATTGGCATACTTTGTAAACTGAGCTGGTCGCCGCTGTCAGCGCTGTGACGTCACTGCCCGGGGTCCAACTCACCGACCGGCTTGTCGAGCACCACGCCCGCCCAGTCGCCGGCTCCCAGCTTCGTCTCGCCGATGTAGGCGATGCGCCCGGGCAGTGTACCGCCGACCCAAACCCTCTCGCCCACCATGAAGCTGTCTGTGTCCGCCGTCAGCACCTGGTCTGCCGGGCAGAGGCGGCACGTCACCGACCACCTGCAGGACACTTGCAGTCGCAGACACACAGACACATTGATGAGCATAGACAGGTAGGGTTTTTGGCACCACCACAACAGCAGCACCGCAGTGGTATCTGTGTTGGCAGTGGTGGGGCTCTGCTAGTAACAGGGAGTGCCGGCTTGCATCTAATGCAGTGAAAGCTGGCGCAGGTAATGCCGCTTAAAAAATCTTGTTGGTTCAGGTCCGGTGACGACATGTTATGGCTAGTGCCACAGGTGTGCCGGCACTAGGTTCCTGGAAAACATTGCATTTACCATGGCGAGCCACCCCCACCAGAGCTGGAGACCACATCACCTCTAAGCTCAGTGATCATCTGCGGGGCTGGACGGCGGCCGCTGGCACCGGCTGCCAGCTTGGTCTGAGTTGGCCGCGGTGAGTTCTATACGCTGTCCCGTGGGCGGGGTCAGAGGTGGGTCAGCGGATGCTAGGGACAGGCCAGGGCTGCCTGACAGCTAGTGGAACTATTCGTCGCTCACTATGAAATATGACGCTTGGAACTACACATACATAATGGCCTTAGGCATTGTGAAGGTATTAGGCCCTTATACATATCGCGCATTATGACCGACAGAAGCCGAGGTCATTTACATCACGTTCTGTCAAGTGGCTCTTATGACCACTGTGGGTGATGGGATTGAGCATTTGATCCCGTCATGAATACAAAATTTTGTCACATTTGCGGGACATTCTTCGCCTCAGCATACCGTATGCACCTGAATTTGCATGGAAAACGTGTTACGATAAGCTTAAGAGATTTCGTGTCGCAAACGTCGCGGTGCCGCCCATTCAATGGGAGGGGGAGGCGGAGGTGGGGAGGGGACGGTGCGGACATCCGGGTGCACTGGGATCTGGCTTCCACGTCACCGGCTGTCAGCAGCAGGAGCGCGCGAGCCTGCGCCCCGATCAATCGCCTGCCCAAGCCCGGCGGCTGGTACGCGCTCACACCGGCCAGCCAACCACACAGCCACGCAGCAAGCGCGTTGGCTATTGCGAAGCCAGTATGCCCAGTTTATCTCCCCGATAAAAACGCGTTTGATGCGGGTCAGACCTTGGGCCGATACCTTTACCGGTCCGCGATGATAGTGATGATAGATAGCACCGGTCCGTGATGATAGTGATGATGGATAGCACCGGTCCGCGATGATACAGATGAAAAAGAGCCATCACTAACACACGTGCGGTCCCTATCCCGTTTGCATGCGACCCGACTGCATCGGCGTGATTTCATTCGCCGGTGGACAGGCTTACCTGAAATTTTCCGTGAAACGGCGGGCTCACTTATCCGCCTCTGCTGGTCTGCGTCCTCCATGGCGTCGTGAACGGCCGAGTGCGCCCCTGTCAAAAGAGAGAGCGAACGTCTGAGTTCGCTCACGGTCCTGTCAGAACGGACTGTGCGTCTGAACTGCTCCATCCAGGAGAGGTAGCTGAAGAGGGCGAACGTCTGAGTTCGCTCACAGTCCTGTCGGAACGGACTGTGCGTCTGAACTGCTCCATCCAGGAGAGGTAGCTGGAGAGGGCGAACGTCTGAGTTCCCTCACAGTCCTGTCAGAACGGACTGTGCGTCTGAACTGCCCTATCCAGGAGAGGCAGCAGGAGAGAGCGAACGTCTGCGTCTGCTCACACTCCTGCCTGGAGGAACCGCGCGTATGAAGTGCAAGAACCAGCAAACGTGGCAGGAAAAGGTACACGTTTAAGCTGGCGCTAATTCCTGTTGGAAGTTGACATGAGGCCTGCTCTGACCAGGAGATGGTGGCCAGGAGATGGTGGGTGCCCGAGCCACACCAAGCCCGCTTGAAAATGGCATATGTTTGGTACCGCCCCCACAGTCATCAAGAGGTGGCGGGTGCTGCGGTGCGGCCACTGAGCACAGTTGTCATCTGACAAGTAGGAGCACACACCCACCACGCCCTTGTTTGCCGGCAGGGCGAAGGCCTGCAAAGGCAGGAAAAAGGCGTGTGTGGGCGATTGTTTCGTACCGATTGTCATTTGTCATTTTCGTTTCGATTGTCATTCGGTCCATACAGTGCAATGAAAAAGGCAAACGCTTTCACGCTGAAAACGGCCGCTGGTTGTGTCTAGACTACCGTTTGTGTGAGCTGAAACTATACGTGACGGATAATTGGGAAGTAACGTAGTTTCATTTGAGAGGTGCTTGCAAATTTCCGTTTGTGACATCATCGCAGGTCTGACAAGACAAGCTAGAAGATCATATAGCCCTCAATGTCCAAATCCAAGTGAACAGAACTGAATTACGTGAGTCGTTAAGCGTATTTGTGAGGAACATTAGTCATATAGATGATTTAGTAGTAATAGCCTCATTCCTCGGAGAAAAGCCAGGAGAATGTAGATATAGATGTGATGATATTCATTTCTTCTATACGTTCCGATGAAGGCATGTTGCCGATATCTGTTGCCTTATGAATATCTTTTTAAGGCATGCGGCCTTTATCAAAACGAATAGCAGGAGTGGATATCAATGCACCTATGTGTCTGTTCTCCTTGTTATTTTTTCTTCGACGAATAAGGCTAATACTCATGTCTACGCACAGAACTAAGAGCAATACTTCAGCAGATGTAATCGCTTGGCCAACCAATTTTGTCGTTATTCAAGTCCTACGTGTTCTGTCTGCTCGCGCTCCCTTCAGTCGAACCACGGTCATTCAGACCAAACACGAGCGCTGCGAGACGGTAACTGTCTTAACACGCGAGGCGAGCAGACGGCGCCGACCCCGGCGGGCGGCGCCCCAGGCAGTACACCGCAGGTCGGGGCAGCGGCGGACCGAGGTACAGCAACACTGGCGGCGCGAGCAGGGGCGGACTCAGGCGCACGCCAGTAACATCACGATACAGTTATCAATCAGTGAGTTCGTCAGAACGCATTCAAAGAAACGCTTATGTCACCGGTATATATATATATATATATATATATATATATATATATATATATATATATATATATATATATACATATATATACATGCTTCGCTCACAAGGATTCGGCTGTAAGCCTAAACGTAACACTGCTATAATATCCTTCATTCTATCACAGGCTGCTTAATATTTAAGCTCATTTGAATGCATCCTCCTGTGGATGAACTCCAGATGGACGATGCGACAAAGGCCTTGCCACACTGATTCGCCGGGCGCAGAAGTGTCGCAACTCCTGTTGCACGACGCTCAGCGAACGAAGAAAATGCAGCATCTTTTGGCACGAAACGGGGCAGATAGATGCAGACAGTAGATGCTATCAGGGCACTGGATGACGTAAGCTGACGTCATTTGCCGGAGCTGACGTCATTTGCCGTCAGCTCCGGTGCTTTATGTGGCCAAACCTGTTGCATAAGGTGCAGTTTCCTTCAAACCCAACAAAATGTGGTAATAATTTCCAGTGATTCAAGACCATTCGACAGCAAACTCTCGTCAAAGTCGCTCCATATTTTCCTCGAGCGTCACGATAGAGCGCGTTCACTTTTACACTCCCGTGTTGACCAAATTTACTGCAAAATGGTTTCATTCACGCCGCGGGCTGGTCTTGCGTGGTAAACAGGCGGGAGAACTGAAGGAGGGCTGCCGCCGGCTGGCGGGGAGGTGTCCTGACAGACTGAGCCGCCGCCGGCCGTGGGCGCCGCGGCCGGCGGGCAGAGGGTTCGGGTTCTGTGTCGCTCTCCTTGCGGCCGACGGCGCCGCGGCCGGCGGGCAGAGGGCTCGGGTTCTGTCCCGCTCTCCTCGCGGCCGACGGCGCCGACGCCGCTCGGTATGAATGGGACTGATCCGACTGCTCAATGAAAGCCCCGACCGAGCCGGCCGGCGGGAACGGTCAAATGCTCCACCGGCAGCAGGGCGATCGAAGATTCGGCTGGCCGGCTGGAGCGGTCAAATACTCCGTCTGCCGGCCGGAATCGTTGAAAATCCCTGTCGGCTGGCGGGAACCGAGGAGGAACGGCTTACTTCCCGATACTTATCAAGTCAAAACTTCCGCGGCGAATATAATATATATATGTAATATGTATGTATATATATATATATATATATATATATAATATATTATGATATATATATTAGTATATATTGTGTGTGTGTGTGAGGTTACGTATGTAGGTTTGTGATATATACATTATATATATATATATTATATATCTATTATTATATATATATAATATAATATATATATTTATATATTATTTATATCTATATATATATATATATATATTCATTATATCTAGACTTATATAACTATTATATATATTCTTCTCTCTCTTTTCTCTCTCTCTCTCCTCTCTCTCTCCTCTCTTCTTCTCTCTACTCTTCTCTTTCTCTTTTCTCTCTCTCTCTCCCTCTCTCTCTCTCTTCTTCTTCTCTCTTCTCTCTCTCTCTCTCTTCTTCTCTCTCTCTCTTCCTCACTCTCTCTCTATCTCCTCTCTCTCTCTCTCTCTCTCTTCTCTCTCTCTCTCTCTCTCTCTCTCTTCTCTCTCTCTCTCTCTCTCTCTCTCTCTCTCTCTCTCTCTCTCTCTCTCTCTCTCTCTCTCTCTCTCTCTCTCTCTCTCTCTCTCTCTCTCTCTCTCTCTCTCTCTCTCTCTCTCTCTCTCTCTCTCTCTCTCTCTCTCTCTCTCTCTCTCTCTCTCTCTCTCTCTCTCTCTCTCTCTCTCTCTCTCTCTCTCTCTCTCTCTCTCTCTCTCTCTCTCTCTCTCTCTCTCTCTCTCTCTCTCTCTCTCTCTCTCTCTCTCTCTCTCTCTCTCTATCTCTCTCTCTCTCTCTCTCTCTCTCTCTCTCTCTCTCTCTCTCTCTCTCTCTCTCTCTCTCTCTCTCTCTCTCTCTCTCTCTCTCTCTCTCTCTCTCTCTCTCTCTCTCTCTCTCTCTCCTCTCTCTCTCTCTCTCTCTCTCTCTCTCTCTCTCTCTCTCTCTCTCTCTCTCTCTCTCTCTCTCTCTCTCTCTCTCTGTAAATGTGGAAAGAATGCTTTTGCTAGCAGTATTTCAGCTTAATACTGCTGCTATAGTTCCCGTATTGCGTCCTCCTGACACAATATTTGTTATTGATGCCACGGGGGCACAGCGGTCACCACAACACAGTTGTATTCTAAGCGATTGCTGCAAGTCACACAATGGCATTTTTATATTTCGTTTCTGATGGTGATGAGTCTTGTTGTTCATGCATGCATGCGTCACGAAGGCTCAGCATTTAGAGATCAACAGAGCTCCTTTAGCCGGCTCTAGAGACTTCTTTGTTATCAGACCCACTCTAGTGCAATGATCGGTTGTACTTTATCGGATGGAAATGGGGATATCATAGACATTTCAACAGGCTGGAGACTTCTTTGCTTTCAGAACCGATGGTACAATGAACAAAAATGCATCGGATGGGGATGGAAATATCATAGATTGAATTTGCGTTATAGTGTTTGTGGAAGTACACTTGGGTGGGGTATAAGAATCTCACATGCCGCTTTGGGAGGCTATTTTCAATCGAGCTGCTGTGAGTTATGGAAAAAGGCATTTGTGGGTTAAAGGAAACGACGCGAGAGATTGGGAAAGAAATCCAGGCCATCGTTGAATGACGCCTGGGGATTGTGTGCTAGATGAAGTCATATGATAACTTATTTTTCGGTCATATCTCTAAATCCTTGAGCGGGAGGGTGGGGTATCTTCCTACATTACCTCTCCATGGGTTATCCATTTGTGAATAACATGCACGTACCCTGTCATTTGCGCCCTGTCAAGCTCTCTACAAATTGCTCATGGTATAAGTTGGTGCACAAGGGGTAATTGCCCGGATACCAATGGAATCGGTTTTTTTTAAAAATGGTGTTTTGACTGTGGCCGGTCCGTTTATCTGGTGCCTCTTCAAAAAAGAACAGTGCTTGGGAGGGTGTCACGCCAGTTCAAACACGCACACAAACCAGAGCTTAACCGCTGGCTAACGAACTCAGTGTAGTATATTTACAAAGTGTTCTTAACTTGCAGCAACAGTCAAGCCCACGTACATTATCTTTTCTTATTTGGAGGGTCGCGTATCCCAGTAGTTCTATGACGTTCCCACTTTTATCTGCAAACCATGTGGAAGCCCTAGACATTTCTAATCTGAACATACGCACTTTGTCGTATTAGATGTCTTTTAGACACGATTTCTTTTATGTTACTGTTTCATTAGCTATTGCTGTTATATTGCGTGCTTACGGCAACCGCGCAAAAATTGATTCAATACGCCCTTTCCAGGCATGCGTCTAACTGTCGCGTGAGAAATTAATTCGCGTCACGCCAAGTCATAAAACGAGCTGCGCTTTCCAATACTCAGAGGTAAGCATTTCTCTGGGCCAATCGAGAATCGCCCTCGAGATCCC